GAGCCCACCTGGGAGCGGATGTGGCGGCATGTGGGCAGGATCCACCCCGAGGGGGAGCGGGTGGCGCAGAGGATCCGGGGCGCCGCTGACTTGCCCAAGGTGAGCTCCCTCCCATGCCGGGGGTGATGCGGTGCGGGGTCCTGGCGGTAGCGCCTGGGCCGGGCCGTCCCCTGCGGGGCTCACTAAGAGAAGAGAGGAAACGGTGGGAGCCCGCTGTGAGGTTGCCCCCCTTGGAAGCTGGGCTCTCCAGCTCGATCCCTCGGGAAAAGGGCTTCGCGGGGGTGCGCTTGCAGGAAGCCAAGTCTCGCTCTGATACGGGGCGCAGGAGGGTGCCTGCGGGGCTCTGCGCTGCCCTGGCGCACCAGCAACCTCTTCTGAGGCCTTGCTGGAAAAAACAGACTTCAGATGGCTGATGTGCGAGCCCCCTGGGAGGGAGATGGATTGCCCTAAAGGCTGGATAAGTCATGAAAAGATGAGGAGAGTTATTAGGAGACTGAATACTTGAGGTGAGAGGGTGAGACAGACAGAGGCGAGTCTTTCAACCAGAAGAAATCAGATTTGGATACAGTCTCCCACACCAAAAGCCAATGGTGCCTGTCAGAAAAGAGACTTTTAATGCCAAAGAGTTCTAAGAGGAGTTAGCAAACACTTGCAGAGCTTGTTGCTTGTGTAGGGTCAGATGTTGTGATTTCCAGGTGTGTTCCTGGCCCTGCTGCAGAGAACTCTATAAAAAAGAGGAACCAGTGATCATTTGACTTAACCTTGTGCTATACTAAAACATTTGCATGTGAATTCTTGTGATTGTTGCTATCTGCGTTGCACCTCAGCCGGAGAAAAATCTCCCATTTTCATTGGCATTCTGTGAACAAAAGGCACTGCAAACATTGGCGGGTTATGAGAGTATTCCCATCATGCTCACAGAGGAAATTCAAATACAGAATGATGAAGTTCTTTTCTGCTCAGGCATTTTTAGCAAGGACTCACCTCCTTGGGAAGGTAATTTGAAGTATGCAAGAACAGGTTAGTATATAGTGCACAGGCAATCCGTAGTGTTTTCCACGAGGAACTCTGAAGAAGCATGTGAGGTAACCTCCTTTGCCCAGTGAAGAGCTGTAGGTATCTGTGGCAGCAACCTGAACAAAACTTGAATCCCCGATTACAGTCCCTATTCTAACCCCATTAGACTTTTCCTTCCTTTTCAGATTTCCTTCCTCTACTCTGACTTTGTCCTGAGTCCGGGTGAAGGCTGAAAAAAATGTTTCAGATCAGTCAGAACATGCACTGCTTAATTTCCTGACCAAAAGGGCTGACTTGGCCAGGAGAGGTGAGGGAAATGGAAGAAAGAAGCTCACAAACAAAAGTCCAGTGCTTGAGAGGAAGGAAATACAGTGTTCAGTCTTCAGTTTTGGTTTTCATGTGAAGTACTTCCACTGCTCTCGCTTCATAGTCCTGGTGCCAAAGAGTTACCATTAGGGGACACAAGTGGTATGAGCTCTTGCAATAACAGGTGAAACTGAGCAATCCTTTTTTTTTTTTTTGCATCTGCTTGCACCCCTGGGAACCAGATCTCTAAACTCTATCCAGAACTCCACAGTCTGAGATCCCATTCCCAAACTCACCATGCACAGCGCTGAAGAGGGTGCTGAGATGCAGGAAGCAGCAAGGATGGCTCTGTTTCCCTTGCTCTTTTTCCCCTCTAGGGATGTTTTTATTTTTGAGGGCTGTTTATATCCCCACCCATCTCAGCACCATCGAGTTTCTTTGAATGGCTGATGCAACAGATGAGAATTAGGGCAATGAGTGTACTCCTTTGAAAATCCAGGTACTCTCCATGTGCTCGAGGGTGAATGGGCCTTTTTAGGTGTTGGGAATCAACAGTGGTTTGCCTAGTCCAAAATTTTTGGCCTTGAACAGTAGCCAGTGTTGGGTGTTGAGGCAAATAACTCTCAAAAGAGTTCTTCATAAACTGAACTTAATACCATAAAATGATGACTGCAGGAGTCTGTGCTCAGACTTTATAAATATGTTTACAGATCAGCTGCAGGGGCTGTGTCTTTCACTGGACTGTGAGAGCTCAGAGATCTCCTCTGGTCTTCAATTCCTTCTGGTAGATTTGGGGTGGGTGTCCATAGAGTGAGCTGTGCCATAGTTGATTGACCATGCATGCGAGGATTGAGAATGCCACCGTCCTGTAGGCTACTTTCTTTTTAGCAACAAGATGGGGTATTGCATTGCTTGGAGCTGCTGGGACCATCAAATGGGTGCACACTGGAAATATAAAGTGATATGTGCTTGCCTCATTAAGAAATTATGGGTTTTAAATTAGGTGGTTATGAGGACAGAGACAGGAAGAGCTGCTTCTAATGGGCTCTTACAGAGAGAGAAGGAAAAAATCCAGGTTCTGTAGTCAGGCTAAAAACTGGACTTGGTATTGCTCCCAAGGTGCTAGCAAAAGGAAGATTGGGGAAGTGCTTGGATACATATAAGCACCATAAAAGAAACTCTTGCCAAACTAGGCTGACCAAAATAAGCCCCTCTGTGGTATGGATAAGGGTGGAGCTTCCTGTGCCTGCTCCCATCTGCCTTGTCTCATGTACAGCAAGGCCCACCTAGTACAGGAAAATCTTCATTGTTCTTGGGATCCCCTTTCTAAAAGCAAAGTGCCAATCCCATGCACATAGCCAGCCTGTCAGGGTACATGAATCAAGGAGTGGGGTGATGCAGCCTCTCCACACAAAGTGATGAGGGACCAAGGACGTTTTCAGTCAGTCTGCTAAGCCTGGCAGGAGTCTATGCTCTGGGAAATCTGGGCTCTCTTCCTAGCTCTCTCTCCATCTTTCAGAACAACTAAAAGGAAAGCAAAATAGATCTCATTTCCTATCTTTTATGTTACAAATAAATTTCTCTCTGCTTTCTGGAGGACTGTGAAGACTGCCTTATATTTATAGCCCTTCTGAGATGTGCAGTGGATGATGCTGGGTAATAACAAAGTGTTAGGGTCTCCTATCCTGTCAGTGTGGGATTGAGGGATGGAGACCTTATTCCTCTCCTCCTGCTTCTATTGCCCCATTAAAATGCTATAGACCTGATGCAAAAGAAACTGTAGCCCAGTCTGGGCTGCAGGCCCAGATCTGAGAAGGAGAGAGCACGCTGTACTTTCATCAGTTTAATTACTTGAGGTGCAGGAGGCTCTTCCATGTTAACTAGTCCCCTGCTGA